GACGTCTTTGAAGTTGTCTGGACAACATTCACTCACCGCCGCCAGTCTGTCGTATACTAGGACTTGAACAGACGTGATACCCCACTGGTCACTGCATGCCAATCTACAATCACCCCCCTCCCCTGCGCCTTCTCCTGAACGACGACGACGATGCAACTGCCATCATTGTAGTGCATATGTAGTTTTGTTCTGTCTCAAATTCAGCAGGCTTTTGGGTAGAATATAAGTGGGATTTTCGATGACCAAGGCTTTTTTGGCATTTTCCGGGCACAGGCAGTCAGTTCCTACCCTGTAAGTTCCGATCTTTTTGTCATCCACAAAATGAAATCAGTATGTCCTTATTGACACCCATATATTTTCTCAAAGTAATGAAGATAAGGAAAGAAAACATGACCAATGCACACAAAGACACACGCGTCACACACACACACACACACACACACACACACACAAACACTTTGGCCCAGAAAAAATACATTCGCTTCTCAAATTGCTACGAAACACCAATTTTGAAAAATGGTAAGTGACCTACAGTTAATTCTTCGCGCACACTGCTTGAAACTCGCATCCCTTAAAGCGGAAACTTTACTGTTTTGCTTGAATAAGACGGAAAATGCCATAAACCGTGGATTTGAGCGCATTGCAATCCCCACATACAATGCCGCCGTAACCTAAGCTCACTTACCCTGAGCAGCGCTGGAGGTTGTTCCACTGCCCTGTCGCGCTGGCCTTGGAAATAAAATTGCCGTCCATGCCGCGTTCACTTTAATTTAACAAAAGTACCCTGTCTCTGCGCTATAGGCACACATTTACAGTGTTCTTAAGACCATATGAAGTGCACAATTTCCTGGAAACTTATTCAATTTCCCGCGGTGAAAAAAGTACTCTATCAAAAACCGTTGAGAAATTAATTTGTCATTTTTGGCTAAGAATTAAAACGTTTAAATTACACAGCAATGTTTGTAAATACATTAGTTTTAGTTATAATAAGACAACCCCACCCTCACCCCCTGTATTGACGATGGCGACGACGGCTGAGCCGCTATCTTGGTAATCACATTGGGCGGCAGTCCGTGTGTGCAGAAGGTTCGTTTTGGCGCAATTTCAGCAGGTTTTCTAAACGAGTTTTGCAAAAACCCAGACTTTTGAGGTATTTTCAGGGGGAACGGACAGTGACAAGAGTCAGTTCCGGAGTAACGAGGTATTTTGTTTATTTTATTTTATTATTTTTACTTTTTTATTTCATTTTGTTTCATTTTATTATTTTTACTTTTTATTTCATTTTATTTCATTTTATTTTTTTATTATAATTTTAGAACCGTTGAATACCTTTAATCAGTGTGGCCTGACTGATACCGGTATATTTATCAAAGGAATGAAGATAAAGAAAGAAAACATGCCTCATTGCACGCACACACACACACGCACACACACACACACACACACACACATTGGCCTAGAAAGAAATGCAGCTGTTTTCAACTTTTTCTGCGACAACAGCATTGGAAATTTTTTTTCATCTTAATTTAGATCTGACTCAAACGCTGCATGTACGATGTGATTCAAAAACTGAATGTCAATGCCCTCCAAGATGACATCAAATGTGGCAACGTCACTGTCGCCATCTGTTCAGTGATGCTTTTTTTGCTCGTATTGCGGGATATAGTGTTCTATGCTAAACAGCAACAGTTACCACTGTGCTTGCGCGTGCAAGAACATCTTATTAAACTGTTTGTGATACATCAGGTAATATAAAAAGGAAACAAAACTCATGAAAGCAGAGAGGGGGGAAAATGCCATGAAAACCGCAAGTCACTTCAACCTGTACATTCTTAAATATCATTGTGTGTCGTTAAGTCGTTAAGAGATTCTGACTGAAAAGTCACCCTAGCCCAGGTGGCTCCATCTAGCTGTTAATAAGATAATAATATAAGATAATAAGATATATATTAAGATAATGTAGAAAAACGATCAATATATATTTAACAAGGTTGCAGTATTGTAAAATATATCAGATGTATGACGCATGTGGTGAAGGTTAAGAGGACACCTCTCTAATGCCAGCATGTGTGCCATTTACAGTATAACTGCAGACTTCAAAACACACATATACATGTTCGATATAAAGCTTAATACATTGCAATTAAATCAAAATATACATACGAGCAACAGATTAATAACCATTCCGTGATTTTTATCATGATACTTCTCATAAGATACACATGTAACAATGGAATGTCATGTTAGATAAGTATGTATTTTTTAACTGCTATAATAGTGGAAACAGCAGAGACATACAGAGTACTCAGGTGCCACGATACGGCTGTTATACATTCTACATACTATACAGGGACCTACCTTGATAACACATATTGGTGATTTTTCGTCTTTGCGGTAATGGCTATAGTTATCAAGGTGGTCGGTCAGGGTGGTTATTGTTTCAGTTGTGACAGCACCTGTCAGTTTATTGTGGCAGTTATGACAACAGCTGTCAGCTAATTGTGGCAGTTGTAACAGCACCTGTCAATAAACTGTGACAGTTGCGACGGCAGCTGTCAGTAAACTGTGACAGTTGAGCAAAACCCAATAGCGGATGTTAAACATGGTGTATGGTTGAGCTCAAGTATGTTGCAGTTCAATTATAAGGTGAGGTGGTATTCCTCACCTATTTTTACACGAATATGAATTAATTGACCAGTTTTATTGCCATCTCAAAGCTACACTAATGCGCATTCTATGCCAACAACAAGCTGTTCTCTTTAATCGATGTAACATAATCCGCAATTTCTGTTTCGTCACAGTGGAGTCAGCTGTCACGGAAATATACGTTTATTTGACATTCACACAATGATATTGAAGCCAAATTTGTGATAATGAGATGCCGTAAAAGACAAGTATGCACATACTGGTATGATGTTCTACAAATGAGATGCAAGTATTAAAGGATGTTGAGGTTCATTCCTTAACATTTTATACAGGACAAAATGAATGACGTCATGAAATGCAACTTTCTCAAATGCTGTTTGCATGCAAGGATTGATGTTAATGTTAACACATTTCAGCAATTTAAATTACTTTTATACTGTATCAGGTACAGTACTGAAGTGATCGGAAAGTGGAAGATGGGGATGGGGATGTCTGTTTAGATTTAACAATTTCCATTCTTATCAAGTCAGCATTGTAGTTTTGTTTCCGAATCATCATTTATTTTACTATGTTTTTCGCTGCACAACATTGACATAAAATCGAAATCTGCTGTCCAAAGAAATAAAATAAATGTGTGATTATAACAAGGTCTTCCTTGCTGTATCATGGGATTTTGTCTGCTCTGCCTTAGTCTTCTTATTTTATCGGATAACAATTGCCTGAAACAATACGATAGAATAAGTTTACATTCTGCATATATTGGCCAACAGACGCGGTAGAATTATCATAACATTGATAAAAACGGACATGCTGGGTTTCAAAGGTCTCCGTGTTACTCTTCCGGAACCGCATCTCTAACTGAACACACATAATTTCACCATTAGAAGTTTTGAGTATATAGGCCTATGACTCACCGTAGATAGGGGGAATTTCCATGTTAGGTACACACTCTAATCCATCTGCACATGGGCACAGTAGCTCTATCTCGGTAGGTTCTGCCTCAGTGTTGTCTCTAATACAACCTTGAAGGTAAGTGAGATCATTTTAAAAGGTATCAGATACGAGTTTATATTATATTACAACGTTTCCCATCTAGCTGGAACGACCTAAGCCGTTGCCATTTAACAGACCACGTGAGGCCGTTCTCAAAAATTCTCATGTTTTCGAGGTAAGCTTAGACTGTTAAATGGTTTGCCCGGCTACGATCGCGAGCAGTTGACTTTTGGTCTGAGTTTCTTAGAATAATGGACCCACAAGAAATGCATTTGAAATGCATAATTAGGCGTTTGTTACTGCTGAGGCTAAAAGCCTTGGGCGATACAATCATACTTTGTTCAAGGGGCTTAGTTAAATGCGCAATAGTCGACTAGATCTAAAAGACATTATTTTAGCCAGCGCCCAAAAAATGAAAAAAAAAAAGAAATTTCGTTAAATAGGTCCCTAGTAATGATAAGCTCACAGGCACAAGGCTTGCTTCATTCAAGAGTGATGTGATATGGGGCAAGAGAGGGATAAGTTTCGCTGCCTGTGGTGGGATATTCGTCAAGAGAAGATTGCGCGTTGTAGGTCGACCCAAAGTATCTGAAAAATGGGCTCCCTTCCAAAAAATCATCCTTATAAAATGGATTCAATTCTAAACATGAAAAACTAGGTGATTTTGAACAAAAACAGAATACGAAGAATATTTTCAATAATTACCTTCGCCTTCTTCTTTAAATGGTACACATTTTGCCTCATAAAGGGAACGTTTCCCTATCGGCAATGGACCGCCTGTCTCGCAACACATGCCATGAGGCAGGCACTGGGCATTTTTGGAGCAGATCTTTGGAGCAGTATCCAGTCCATGAATACACTGGAAAGCACAGGGGAAGAAGGGAATTCACATACAGATAACAGTTACTCCTACCTCTCTACAAACACACACACGGGAGAGAGAAAAAGATCATTCAGTATTCAATAAATCAAGGTTACGAGATAGATTCTAGAAATTAAACAGTTAAAAATCAAAGTCTTCACAACGCCAACAGGTCGATGAATGCACCAGTGGCTGATTTAGAGTTGGGTCAGGAGGGTCTTGACCCCCCCCCCTCCTTCGATTTCTGAAAAAAAATCACACCTATGGTCCCCTCTTGAAATTAGAATTTTGACTAGCCGAATCATAGTTTTAAATCGTACCAAATGGCACCGTTCGCCCTCTAAAATACCAAAATACACGAACCCCTTCAAATAAGCCTGGGTGCGCCCCTGTGCACCATTGAGTCTTTGACATTATGACAGCTCAGCAGAAGAACACCTTTGTTAGAATATTATCCCGTAACTTACCAGCAACAGATAAGTCACCAGCACGAAAGCGGTAAGCCACGACATCTTCAGGATCAGAAATGCGGTTTAAATGGAAGGCGGATTCGTTGCTTGGTTTTATATTAATATTCCAATCTATGCAGATGCTAACCTCGTTCCGTGAGGGTGTCGACAGCGAAATACGAAACTGTGTTGTTATACAGTGCATAATAATATGAATCATAAATGAAAATGATCAAAGAGAACAACATCTCACATCAGTTTGATGAAAGCCTACGATGTACGTCCAGGTTGGTCGTAAGCTAACGGCATGAGTGATTTTCGGTTTGTATTTGATCATTTTCATTTATGGTCCAACTACCAAGCTAATAAACATTTTTGCTCAATATGAATCATAGTTACAGAAAAAAAATGTTACACAGCAGTTTGGTGTCATAGAAATGCTACTGTAATACAGATAAGCCGCAGCACATTACGTAACCTATGAGGGTATATAAGGTCATATCTCAGAGAAAAATAAAAGGATCAGTTTACCAATGTCCCGCATACTAGTTTCCATGATACCTTCAAAACATACGTGCTTCATATATAATAATTGTCTCTTCTGTCACTTAGAATATTTTGTAGGGCAAACACTCAAACGCTGTGGCTACTTGTTCTACCTTGTCACCATAAATTAGACTTAGACATCTATCTTTTATACAGAATATGCTGTATGAGCATACACTTATTCAATGCTCAAAGTATTACAGCAAGCGTCAGACATTAATGCGACATACATGTACTTAAATGTGACAGAGATTGATCGATTTTTCTTATCAATTAATGAATATATCTATCTGTTTATTTATTCGTGTTGTATTTCCAATCTAAACAATGGGGTTCAAATAAGTTCGTTTATACTATAATAAAGTGCAAAACTAATAAAACATCTTAAATTCCACAGTGTAATAATCAACAGTACCAAAATCATGAAATAACTAAAGGGGAAAAATTATACAATGACACAGTTTCAGTTTGTTTTAATATTTTTATTCGCTTGCTTATTAATTTTGTAATTAATGTTTCGTCACATAAGGATAACAAAGCAAACCGTGCAGTCCGGATACAATTGGTAAGGAAATTAAAATCAACTTAAAAAATGGCCCAATGCATATAAATTGGATAACATTACAGAATTAGACTTATTACATGTGGCCCCTAAAGCTACTATCCCATGGTCTGCGGGAGCCTCCTTATTTTATGGGCACGCAGTTACCTGAAAATACAAAATAGAAAATAATTAGCTAAACTCAGGTAAGTAATTGTACGCAACCTTCATCTACGAAGAAAATGATTTATCACTGTGTGCGGTTTATGATAATTCAGCCTTAAGTGTTTCATTAATATTTTATATCAAGTCTTAAGTGTTTCATTAATATTGAAATATACTGTGACCGTTTAAATGCATGGTCACTTATGTACATCTATTTGTACTAAAGCGACTTTTAACACATTTCCAGTAAGGTGTGGTCGCCATAAGTTAACACGGCTTATTTCATTTAGGTAGACCTCTTACGATTGGTTCATCGTGAGCAGAAACCCCGCCCTTATCTTGCCCATCAAACAAATCGCACCATTTGATTGGCTCATTGTGAGTAAAACCCTCCCTTCTTTTAACCTCCCCCCCTCCCCCCTTCGCCAGCAAGTCACGTCATTTGATTAACTTTCTATGGTCAGCTGAAGACAATCAATTGGTTTCACGAGATTATAGTCGTACCGCACGAGATTCGTCGATCTAACCGCACGAGAAGCGCCACTTATTTAGCAACTCATGTGTGATGTCAACGCATTTTAAACTCCACAACGTAGGCCACACTCACCGTAGACGGGAGGCATCTCGTTGTTAGGTTCACACGTCAGACCATATCTACACGGGCACAGCATCTCCATCTCAGAAGGTTCTGCAATCACGTTGTTTCTATGACATCCTGGAAAAATACATATAAGTTTATCTTAAAAGCTAGAAATTATGATCTAGCTTGTGAAAATAATTTCATTGGATCTCAGTTTTCGTAGTCAGAAAGTTTTCATTATTGATAGATCAATCCCACCCTGGGGGTGAGAGGGACTAACAAATCATCATCAAGACTGAGATAATTACCTGTTCACCTTCAAGTGAACAGGTAATTCAGTTTGTGACCAAGTCTGTCAGAGTGAACAGACAAAACAGTCAACAGGTATTAAAACTAAATATATGGATCTATCATGAATGGAAACTTTATGACTATGATCTTGCTTGTCAGCGGACCTAGTTTGCTCTGAAACTTTTTAACCGCCCAATTTAATTTTCTTGGGGTTATAAGTTTTAATTTTTTTCTACTCACAAATAATTGTTATGAATCGTCCGTGCCTATGTTCGAAATCTTAATCCAATTTTTGATTTGATAATTTCGTACCCTTAGTTTTTTTTTTTCGGGGGGGGGCGACTAAGAGTTAAACGTACACGTAATGGGGATTAGACGAACAAGAGCTATTAAAAAGGAGATAGACTACATTGACTTAACAAGCCTCGCAATGTCACTTACGTTCGCCCTCCTCCTTATATTGAGCACACTTTCCGCCAAGTAAGCTAAGAGCTCTTTTCCCTCTCACCAGGTTTCCGGATTCACAACACAAACCGCGAGGCAAGCACTGTATATTACGGGTACATTGTTTAACTTCTCCTTGTGAACACTGAAATAAAATTGAATGACATTTTATGTGACAGTATCGTTCTTGTTTGCGAACATGAAGTTATACCTACATGTAAGAATATCTTTTTTGGTGTCTGTAACATTTCTCCTCGTCTTCTCATCTCTGTTGACAAATTAGACAACAATAGTATATACAGTTGTGCTTGGATCGAAGATGAAGCATAATCTATTCCGTTATATGAGCGCAATCACTCACCAGTATCAAACATGAAAGAAACACGATCAAAAGCATCCCCTTGATAAGCGCCATCATCACTGACAATAAATTCAATATTGAATGGCTGCAAATATTATCTCGCACTGTTTTTATACATGTTCGAGTAAACACGTGGGTTACAAGTGGTAAAATGTGTCTGTAGGCTTTCTTTATAAAGTATGGATACCATAATTTACTTGACATTTAGTATATGTCGTGCTTTTGTGCACATGATGATGGTGAGAATAGATAATTCTCCAAGATTTATAAAAATACAACTACCTTAAACCCATATAACTAATTACACCGAGTGTTACACAGGTGAAACTTTCTCGCTGGTGCAGCAACATTTTCATTTTGTTTCATTTGGAGCCCACGAATATTTTGAAATGACCGACCCCCGTCACGCGAGATAAAGCCACCGAATGTCGGACAGGTGCGTCAAACGTCGTCAATTTCTCAACCCACATCCTTGTCGCAGTAAATCAAGCTGTCACCCCTACAAGGATATCCGGCCCTGGAATTACACATGCTGCCAACTTCTTCCACGTGCACATAAATTCATTTTTACTATGAAAGGAAATATACTATTTAAGCAAGTATGTACTACATATATGTAGCTGTTACGTACATGTGTATACATGTACACAATCATCTCGCCAGTTCTTCGTTGAATATTAAAAATAGTGCCTAATGCTTTTAACATTGTATATGTAAGTACTTCATCTTTCTTTCCCATTTTCCGATGAAAAATATTAAGAAGATAACACCAACGGTTTCATCTGTCTTGATTAAGAAATAAATACTTTCACTTGAAAGCATCAACATATTTAAGTTCGTTCGAATTCCCTTGTTTTCATTTTGATAATTTTAAGATTTATAAACTGAAACAAAAACAACCAGTAGATGTGAGAGTGTGTAATGTTAACGAAAACCCATCCATCGATGAAAGAAAAGGTTGCCTTTATTCATGTAAGAACTGAACGTCATAATGTGTTATTTACAACTGTACATGTACCTTGATGTGCCATCGCCATCGTAATTTAAACTATTTGCTGAAATATTATTATAAAACAAGATAGATAAGACCGAACACCTTTACCGGTACAACACTATGTAATTTCGACCAAATCAGATTACAGGTCAAGCTATTTTAAGGAGCTGTTATATCTGTATCCGGGTTCGGGTCTGTAAACAACATCATTAGGCGGTATTTAAACGCGACCAACTGGTTATAACGAGTCGCTCCCAGTCCGGACCTATTAAAAATCAACTAGCATAATAAAATATGATGCTATTGATAGTTAACATGTGGAAAACATAAACGGGATTGGTAATCACAAACATGGAGGCTGCACGAATTAGCCTTACCACCTGATTTCAATGCCCCTTCCTAGCTTCAAATATACATGTAGGTCGCAAGCAATGAAGGAGCTAGCATGTTGAGTACGGCACACGCCCTCACAACTTACGAACAAAATCGAACGCACGTGCCTCACTTCCACGCCAGGAGTATAATCGTCGTACTCACAATTGGGCACCTTCAAGGTTTGTGACACTTTTTCATATCATATACCCCGTATTTCTACAAGTATTCTCTGCTCTAAATACCGAAAGACAAAAATATGATCTAATCATGCCGTGTACTTCCAGCTCGAAATGAGTAGGCAGCTTCACGTCTTACACCACTCGACGTCATAGATGCTCGCTTACGGCACGGTCCTTTCTCCTCCGGTTCCCTTAATTGGGGTCTCTGTTTGTAAAGACATCTCACGAGGCCGCTGCGACTCGCAAGGCAGACTTGCGCCTTTCCACCGCAACATTTCCTTAACCTCTACGAACTCCACGATCTTTAAATGTGTGCGTCCGGTTGTGACCGAGGCTTAACAGAGGCCTTTAAGAGATTTTTCAAAACATCATATGGTTAGTTAGTTATTATTTTCTTTATTTATTTGTTTATTTACTTATATTTCTTTCATTGGGAAAGAGAGACATGCACTATTTTTTCTTTTTTGATATACACGAACCGTCAGAACACGTCTATTGTGTGCTATGGAATTCACATTTTTCAAAAAGTACATTAATATACAAGCGACATCAGAATGTATAGTTATCAAACTATTCAAAACTTTTTCTGAAGGACTTTTATGTTCATCTTCTCTAAAGCAATTGGTGGCATGGCACAATCATGGGGGTCTGTGGTGTGATATAAACTGTCAAATGTCCCCATTACAGACTTCTAGCCATTTATCACTGCCATGGTCAATGACTTCGACCGTAGCCTATCCATATGAAGCTGTTTTGTATCAGGACTATCCACACGTACCCGGGCATATCATACACACACTGCAACTCGCTCTCTCTCTCTCTCTCTCTCTCTCTCAACCTGGATTTAATGATGAATAAGCACAATACATTTGTCAATTCAGACTTTAATTTGGTAGTATAAAGGCATGTTAATCCAAAACCGTAAGCTTCTGTAATACATTTTTACTTTAACTTAGTGTGCATATGGAAGTTTCACTCTCAATGATAATTAGTTTATTTTGTTCCAAACGCCTTTGATTTTCATTTATTCGGAGTTGCAATTCTACGCTCTATTCTTCGAAAGCAGCTAACACACTCTGTATCAGTCGTACCTCTAATACATGATGATGTTGATGGTGATCATACGAATACATAGAGAATAACCTTAGATTAATCAGAAGTAGTCCAATAAGATAAAAAGACGTTTGTTTTATATCATTAAAGATACTGTAAATGTTTCAGACAAAGTTGATTACAGTGTACCATGGGTTTATCCGGAACTGAAGTACACCGTACTTACTTGTAACTATAACCCCATTTTATATATATTTTAAAGTTTAAGGCGCTGTCTCCTCTCAGCAAGGAAGCAGTAAACAGCCCATGCAACTACAAATACTTTTGAAATCGAAAGACGAATCCTGTCGGGCAAGAGTTTTTTTCTTCTTTTTGCGGGATCACGGGGAATTCGAAGCGCCCAGAGACCCAGTAAATTGAGTGCTGGGTCCCCCGATAAATGTTCATAGATTAAAAAAAGACAGATCCATGCCTTTTCCTCTGTATGTTTTGGTAATGACATGGAACATGAAGCATTCTGAATCAGAGTGCCAGTTTGTTCGCAATAGCATTGTGACATTAATCAATAATATTCTTAAAAGTACAACTTAATACGGACTTTTGTTTTGAAAAGTGTTTGCAATGGAGAGAAAGATATCGCGTTAATGATTATTAATGGTAGCTGCGCAACAAAAGGGCGTATCTAAATTGAGGTAGGAATGATATCCAAGCATTTGATTCCGAATTTGCTTTGAAAAGGCACTCGTGATAAAGGGCCAGACCCTATCATTGAAGATACATATGTTACTTAATGTTGACTGCACATTAAAGAGAAAACTCTAAATTGCGGTTGGAATGATAGCCAGAAACAAAAACATAATTTCCATCCACTTGCTGAGAAAGTGATCAGGCATTCATGCTAATATCGCAATTCAAAAGATTTTTCGTGGATTCTTGAAGCACGTTGGAAGCAGAGCGAATGAAAACGCACACGCGATAAGATACAATCACCGCGTTTTACCCCCTGTAGGTAGATGAGATTGGATTATATCAAAGTGAATTTGCAGCGTGAGGCATTCCATCAATTCCTAAATTTACCTTGCTATATGAGTCCAGGTCTCGATAACTCGAAAACATCGTAAATTGCGACCGCACGCAAGCATTGTGACCTGTCACTATTGACTTTTGCTAGTCATAATAGCATAAAACAAAGCATGAAAATACGGTGTCAGAATTTGTGTTAAATAATTTAGCATACAGGCAGCATAATATGGTGAGAAAGATATTTTAAAAATAGATTATTTATTTTCCAGTTAATTTCTTAATACAATAAATAAAATTTAATAAAGCAAAAAAAAATCAATCTGTTTTACATTTCATTTTGGACGAATGACATTCAATTGAAGGTTCACTGCAGCACAGTTCCTTTGATTGACGAATACTCAAAATTGCCGATATTTTTCAGGACCACTGTAAAGCTAACACGTAAAAAAGGTATAGTGAGCAAACTAGCTTTACAGTACTCTTACACTCAGGGTATGGAATCTTGAATATTAATGGCCACCATATTGAAATGAATTACAACCGTGAAAATAAGATTAATAATCCGGATTCTTATAATATGCTTCAATTTTATGTTCAGCAGAGAAAAATGAATGAAAAAGACAGTTTATGTAATCATGATGCGGCAGGACAGCGATAAAGCGTCCTGGGATTGGTCTTGCGTGGTCTCCCAGCAGGCATAGTCGCGTTGGATCAACGTTGAAAACAGGTTGATATGTTGAATTGCCGTTGATCTACCGGTACCTAATTCAACGTAAAATCAACGTTGATCCAGCCACGTCTGCCGGGGCATCATCCGTCCGATTCTCATTCAATCCTAGCCACTTTCATCTAAAAGGCATGCGTATCAACGGGCATGGTAACTTATGTTATTTTCATGTACCACAAGCAAGTATCTTGTGATGTAGCCTGTTTAACGCGACCTTTGCTGCGTAGTAACCGCGGTACGTCCTCTGGGCGAATTTTGCTTTGCAAGCGTCATCGGCTCTTAGCTTGGCAAATTCAACATGTCAGTTGTACGTACATATTATATCAATAACTTTTCATTATGAAGTGAAAAAAGAACAAGCCTGTAGCCCAAAAAAATGTGTAAGTTCAGCTATTTTTCAAGTAAAGAAATCGCTGCTCTACTTCCTTGTGGTCTCCATATTTTAACCCCACCTCAAGGCAGATCACGTAAAATCACGGGGAAACTTGGACTTCTCGTTGAGAACCCGGACAGCCTCTATTTCAACTTCAAGTTCTCTCCGGCCAAGTTTAATTGCTTTTGTCATATTTCTCTGCACCTAGTGTATACGGTTTATGAAAATAAAATAGAACAATTTAAATCTCTGAAAAATCTGCACCTTTGGGCTTACTTTAATAATTAAACCTTCCTTAATCAAACACAGTCCTGGAAAAAGCAGGCGCCCTTATTAAACGGAGACTTATGATATAACTGGGATTAGAGGTCGCCATTTTAAGGTGCTTAC